TTTCTTAAATTATATTAAATTATATAATAATAATTAGATATGAAATAAATTTTTAAATATTAATTATTATACCTTTATTTAATATTTTTATTTTTCAACTTAATATATAGCTTTGCCCGTAAAAGGGTGCTCGGTATTAAATTTAGAAGATAATCAATTTAGGAGATTGCCCCGGAACCTGGTCTCCCCGACCGTGAGCATACGCTACCATTTTAATCAATTAAATTTTGTGGTCAAACGTTTGACTGTGACAAAACATGTTTTGAAAAAAACGATATCCTAATTAGCAACGTTTTGGGGGATTTGGTGAATTACCTCACGGGCGGTGGCGGATTTGAAGGTGAAGATGTGGGCCAAGGCGGGGATGATGTAGACGGTGAAGCTGACGAGGAGGGATCCAACGGTGGAGTTGATGGGGCCAAAGAAGGGGAAAATGATGGCCAAAAACCAGATGGGGATGACCACCGGCAGCCTTGCCGCCGCCCTCTTGCACAGGCTCTTGCACTCATGCATTCCTATTGCTTTCTCCCATACAAAGTACAGAGGTGTACATGCGAACCCAAAGGTTATAAACTGCATATATAATTATGGATAATTAATTAGATTATGATGTTAATGATGGTGATTATGTATGTATGGGGAAGTGGGTGGGTGGGTGCATGCCTGATGGATGAGCATTAGGATGACAGCCATGTCTCTCCAGGGAGATCTTGGGAGAAGAGAAAAGGCGTTGGAGTGGTTGAGAAGCATGTCTCCAAATGCCCAGTAGACAGCTGCAGCGGACGGAAGTGTCAGTGTCAGCACGTACAGGGTTGCTAGCAAATATATAGCCTTGAACTTTTGTGGCTTCCACATTGCGTGCATAATCTCCCTGCATTTAACCAATCAAAAATAAACCATTAAAGCAGAGAATATCTTTGCTTAATGTTAAAGGAATGCCCAAAAGCTGTGAAGTACTGTTAAGATGTCTTTCCCTGAGACTACAACTCACAACCTTCGTGTGACATTTGACAAATAATGTAACTCATTGGCACAATTTGGAATTCGAAAATAAAGTTCTCAGACCGAATTTTGGCTGTTGGATTCTGATTTTCAGGTCATCATATCTGAAGAGAGATAAGGGTTATAAATCTAAGCTAGTCTTACACAGTAACAGCATGTCCTCCGAATGTGTAGAGGATGTTTGTGGCGCCTGTGAAATACAACACCAGCTTGGTAGGTCCAGAATGCTTAACCCCTTCAACCTGAATAACATATCAACCAGATTATTATCAACTTAAAAGAAAATCAATGGGACAACCTGTACTATGTTTTGACAGGTTTTCCCAACCAAACATGTGCATATGTCATTGTGTCATACATGTAACAGGAAGATGGTAAAAAAAAAAAAGAATATACCTGGCCATGGAGCAGGGAGGCAACAGTAAGATACCATGCAGTGTAGGTGGTCATCAAGAGACCAAGAAATGACCAGATTCTGTAATTGTGAAATGATGGAATAAAGACAGTGGTGGCACAACAAGCTCCGAAGATGTACGTCCAAGTCCTCTTGTCCAGATTATCATTTATGTAATATATATTGCTGAAACATCAAAATTAAAAGATACCCAAAAATTTTCAAAAAGTCATGTGATGTTTTCTTCATTTGAGAAATGGATTTAAAAATTAGGCAGTATAGATAGATACCTTGCACAGGCTATTAGTTGAATGACAGATCCAAACAGAAGAAAAGTGCAGTTAAATGCCAAACCCACGTTCCTCCAGTGTTTGCCGAGGAGGCCATCAAGGACTTCAAACCACTGGAACAGAGGATTAAAAAACAGGGGAAGAGGTGAGAAACCCATGTGAGATTTTGGAATTTTGGAAGTATGAAAGATTTTGGAGTGAAGTGAGAACCTGGATGACATGGTTCCTGAAATCAACTTTTTCTCTTTCTTTTCTTGTTCTGTATTCTACATAGAGTATGCTTATGAGATAAGCTGTCCAGCTACCCAACAATCCGTAGAAAAGCTGAAACAGGATGCCTGATACCATCCCCAGCTGGGAAAATGAGTATGGCAATGTTAGTAACACCTGAGCCACCTGAAAAAAAAAATAAAAAATTAATGAAATTGGAAATGCTTAGCTGAGTTAGTACCAACTCGCAAAGATAAAGTTATGTACCTGATTTGAAGCACAGCTAAACCAGGCATCATAAGCAGAACCACCATGCCATAAAAACTTGGAAAGCTTGGATTTCATGCCCTTAGGCTTCCCTTCTGTCTCCATTTCTACATAGTTTCCTACTATCACTGCCTCAACCACTTTATCCGTGGCCATGATTTCTCTTGCTTTTTCCTCTAATATGGAATAAATGGATTTTGGTTAATTTTCTAAGGAAGGAGGTGTAATGGTGAAGAGATGGAGATAGAGAAAGAGGCATATATATACAGAGGAACGGGGAGGGGTTCTCCAAGGGCGGTAAAAAAGACTGTTTGAAAGGTGTTTTAGAGAGGCGTGTATGGGGAAGCGGGTAAATCCAGCTTTTGGGAGCTTAACAAAAGAAATTCATCTTTTGTGGGCATTTGACAAATCCACAGATTTTCGAGCTCCTTTTTGTGATTAGAATTTGTGTTGTTTAGCTAAAGATGTAATTAAATAATGGGTTTTAGAAAAAAAAAAAAATTAGGCCTATTAGAGAGAGCGTGGAAATGGGTTGTCTGCGCACGAGCGGGTCTCCCCTCTTCCCGAGCTTATAATTACATTTGTCTCTCTTATGCCTAATCTAATCTTCATTTTTCATTATAATCCTAACATGACATTTTATTTTATTTTTTAATTGTAACTTCTTTTTCTAAATAGGACAAATTTCCAAATTTCATAAACCCCATATCAAAACATTTTAAATTGATGATTAAAATCAACAATAAATCGCATCTTAGAGGAAAATACTAAAATTTTATTTGCTATAGTTGTAGTTTTGAACTTTTTAATTTAATTTTAAATTTTAAATAATTAAAATTAAAAATTAAAAATATCAACTTATTAAATATAAAATTTCA